GTGGATCTCGCCTGGCCACCACGGAGCTCTTTAACCACCCTGGCCACCTCAGCCCCAGTGATGTGCAAGCCCCCCCCAGCACCCCCGGGCTCTGTGCCCTCAGATGTCTCAAAGGCAGTGTGCGTAGATGTATCTGAGGCAGGGTTGAGGAGGTCCTCAAAGTATTCCTTCCACCTCCGGGTGATGTCCCCAGGTGACGTCAACAGCACCCCCCCCCCCGCACTATAAATAGTAGGAACCAGGAGCTGCTTCCCCCTCCTGATACTCCGGATGGTTTGCCAGAACCTTTTTGAGGCCGATCGAAAAGGAGTCTGGTGATCTTAATGTGCAAGCTGGCGTTTAGAGAAGAAGAAGGTCTGACAAATATGGAGGGGTAAGTCCATTGAGAGCTTTGTAGGTAATTAGTAAAATTTTATACTTGATTCTATAACTAACAGGTAACGAATGTAAATTACAAAGAACTGGAGGGACGTAGGTAAATTTTCACGTATCCGTAGGTAACACAGCACAGTTCTGAACATACTGTAGTCTGTTGATAAGTTTAGACAGGATGCCAGAGAGCAATGCATTACAGTAGTCAAGGCAAATAGTGATGAAGGCATGGGTTAGTGTTTCAGTATCAGTAACACTAAGGGATGAACGGAGGCGAGAGATGTTGTGGAGTTGAAAAAATGTAGTCTGTACCAGAGACCAAACATGTGACTGAAAGGTGAGAAACTGATCGAAAATGATGCCCAAGTTACAGATTGTAATTGATGGTTCTACAAACATTCCGTTAACATAATTTTTTTATCTTAGAGTAGACAGAAGTGATCTAGTACCAACCAGAAGAATTTCAGTTTTATCAGAGTTAAGCTGTAAAAGGTTGTAGTCATCCAAGTCATCCAATGCTTGAGTTTTCAATTGATGCTTGAAAATGTTAACTGACTGTCTGGCAGACTGTGAGGAGTTGTATTCCATTGTTCTAGGTCAGCATGAAGCACTGTTAATAAGAGTGGAATAATATGGAGCAGGCAGTAAGAAGGATATTGGCTTGCTGCTGTGCTGAACTTGGTACACACGATAAAAGCAGAACAGTGAGCAATTGCAGAACACAGATTAAGAAATGTCTGCTTCTAAGATAAACATGTAATTAGAGCAATCACTTTTCTCTCAGATTTGTTAATCTGCAAAAAATAAAAACTGCAGCTGATTATAACATGAGTGATACCTTTTCGTTTCTTCAACTACAGCTTTTGTCTCCTGACATGTTTTATCTTTTTGTAAAGTGATGTAATATAACTGTTGTATTGAAACTTGCAATACCTTGAACTGCTTGTAATTTCTCACCTATATCCTTTGTGAAAAAATATAGATACAATATCTTGTATGACTAGGGTTTTCTATAAGCAATGCCAATGATTGCTATGATACAAAATAGACCCGCAGTGCTTGTGACAAGCCAAAAAAACATCTTGAGTTTCCATTTGGCAGCACCGCATAAGTAATCTCTGTTTATATATCTGCATACACACATAAACATTTTGAATATATATTCATATATAAAATAAATAAAAATCAAGTCTTTCATTTTGACAACACTGTAGTGAAAGAATGGGTAATTTTTCTGAACATGGTGAACATCCAAGTAGCTGTTAATGTTTCATAAGTATTTACATTTAGGTTGTTGGTAAATGCTGTCCGCTGAACATAGGTTATCCCATTCTATAATAGCAAACAATTTCAAATTACACTGGTGTTTTGGGCTCAGCAGGTCTGTTTCCTGTTGACTGGGTTAAATTGTCACACTCTGAGTATCAGCACCTACCAGATTCTGGGCCACACATGTGTAGAACCCTGCCTTCTCAGTTGTGATACCCAAGTTCCCTCTGCCAGGACCCGATATGGGCTGTGACTTGCAAAAGGGATGAGCCTGAGGCCTTTAGGAGAGACCCAATAAATGCTCGGTTCTGGTTCAGCAAGGGCTCGGCAGTGCAAAGCTAAGTTGTCCCCATGTCTGACTTTGACATAATGAGGGAAGGTTCCAGGGGCAATCAGAGGAAGGCAACACTCTGACATCTCTTGGAAGGAGACTTCCTTCACCCTCTTTGCTTTAAGGTCTGGGGGTTCAGAGCAGAATGTGGACTGGGGATCAATAAACCGGACAGACTTGTGGTCTTCTGCTCCCACCCACTGGATGAGGCAGTCACATCGGATGGGATTGGTGTGCAAGCTGATCTCTTTCAAGCTGGGTAATGAGAGTATTGTCTGCCAATGGAGAGCACTCAGAGCATTACTATTGAGCATAAGGCTCTCCATACTTGTCAGCTGCTGGAAGGCCTTAGGGTGAATATATGACAGTCTTGGGTTACTAGTGATCTCCAGTTTAGTCAGTTCTGGCAGGTTGTGCATAGCAGAACACTCTTTTCACAATTTTCCATGTTATTAAGCCCCAGTTCCTTCAGAAGAAGCATGTCCTTGAAGTCTCCCTTCTGAACCAGCTGAATAGGGTTTTTATTCAAGTCCAGAAATTTTAGACCTGGCAGTGTCTGGGGCAAAGCATGGAACCAGTGTCTGTCTATCATCCTAAGGTGATTTGAGTTGAGATGGAGCCGCAGTAAATTTCCTAGACCCATAAAGGCTCCTGGTGAAATGGTTCGAAGTTGGTTATGGTTAAGGTACAACTCCTGAAGATTAGGCAGACCTGAGAAGGCAGAGTCTGGAATGTGGTGTAACTGGTTCTCCTCCATGTGAAGGCTAAGCAGAGCAGGTATGTGGGTTACCTGCAAGTGACGTATGTTACTGAAGGTGTTCTGGGAGAGATCCAGCTCAGTCAGGTTTGCCAGGCCCTGCAGATCCCTCTGATCCAAATTGGTGATAAGGTTGCTCTGCAGCCTCAGGGTCTGGGTCTCCAATGGGAGTTTAGCAGGAAGCTGGGAGAGGAGCAGGTCATTGCAGTCTACAGTGGGAGCTTCTCGGTATGCAGATTTTGGGCAATACCAGGGCCTGATCTGGCATACACATTTTTGAGGACAGGGCACATTCCATGGTATGGAATGTGTAACCAGACTACTAGCAATGCCCAGGAGGACATGAGCTTGCACAATGAGTATTATTCTACTCATCATTTCAACTGAAAAATGATTCAATTAGTTTTCTTAGTATTCAATTTTTTCTGACCTTTCCAGTGAGACTGTCCACTTCAAAGTGTTTTATTTCTAAAGTAAAATCAGTTTAGCATTTCTGGATGTATTTGTAAGTAGATCATGTTGCCAGCACTTCCTGACATGTTGGAGCCTTCTGTATTTTTTCTTATGTTCTGGTACACCTAAGGAGGGAATAGAAAAGAGTTCAGGTCATTGAACTATCATTGCAAGAAAATTTTGCAATTAAATGATAAGTGGACAGTGTTTCTGAATTGTTCTAAACAGGGCTAGGCAGAGACTTTTTGAGGGGCTAGTGCTGAAACAGCACTGTGGGGGGTTGGAGATGAAAGTGCTACTGCTCAGTAGGGGTGTATTCCGCACCTATTAATTTTTATTTGTTCGTTTGGCTGTTTTCCTAAAATGTATTGTAAATTATCAGAATTTTTCAAGACATACATGGTCAATGCACATTCAAAAAATTGAGAAGTTGTTAGACATTAAAGACTGAAACTTTAAAGAACAGAAATAAAATGTCTGTGCATATATGTTTTCCCATTTAATATTAGTAAAATAGTTGTCCTTTTAAACAGATTTACAAAATGCCACATTTGGGCCTGTGACACAAACAGGAAAAATTTTGCACACCGAACAGCTGGCACAGAGATAAGCTTCTGGAATAATTTCTGTGATACTGGATGTGAGCCACTTCAATTCATAGTGAATAAAAATGCTTGTTCAGGCTACACTTATTTGAAATTCTTTTCCTATCATTCGCAAAAATAATCCCGATTTACACTATTTTTTCCTGGTTGGAAAAAATTGGAAGCAATTATTCTCAAATGAATGCAGATGCAGGTGTAATTTTGATAGGGAAATGCAAACAGCTACCAATGTTTTTCTTCCCTTAGCTATATCTCCTGTAGTTACCAGTTACAGTCCATGTAATGAGCTATCTTAAAATACACTCACCTAAAGGATTATTAGGAACACCATACTAATCCGGCTTTTGACCCCCTTTCGCCTTCAGAACTGCCTTAATTCTACGTGGCATTGATTCAACAAGGTGCTGAAAGCATTCTTTAGAAATGTTTGTTTTAGAATGACTCGAGCTTTGTGACATGGTGCATTATCCTGCTGGAAGTAGCCATCAGAGTATGGGTACATGA